AAAAAAAAAAAAAAGGCAGACAATAACAAGTGTTGGTGAGGATGTGCAGGGGCTGGAACCTTCATATCCCGGCTTCTAAAAAAATGAAATGGTTCAGCCACTTTGGAAAACAGTCTGGCAATTTCTTAAAAAGTGAAACCTAGATTTACTACACACCCAGAAATTCTACTCCTAGGTGTGTACCTGAGAGGAATGAAAACAAATATCCATACAAACACTTGTTAATGTTCATAACATCATTCCTCATAACGCCAAAGGGACAACTCAAAGGTTTATCAGCTGATGAATGAATACGTTGGACTACTCTCCCCTCTCCTGCAATAGAAAGGATAAAAGATGGATACATGCTACAAAATGGAGGGACCTCAAAAGCGTCGTGCCACATGAAGATAGAGGCTGTAGATTACATGCTGTCTATTCCATTTACATGAAATGTCCAGAAAAGGCAAATTTATTAAGACAGATAAGTGGTCGCTTGGCACTGGGGATATTAGTATTATTATACACAGGTTTGAGAGAAGTTCTGGGGTGATAGAGACGTTCTAAGGCTAGATTATGGTGATGATTGCACAACTTTATAGGTTTATTTAAAAAATACTGAATTGTACCCTTACCAAAAAAAAAAAAAAAAGGTAGATGAAGAAGGGGTGCTTTGAACCATGTGGGGAACAATATTTGAAGACCAGGGAAATTTGGGACCTACTTGTAAAGTCTCTGGGCTTAACATAATATCATCCTGACTGTGTCTTTGGTAAAGGGTGAGTTTAAAATGGTCATATCTTTGAAAGGCACAATATGAAGAGAAATTGTTACCATTACGGATCCTGAAACAAAAAGAATGAAACTGCGGGCTCGTGTTTGTTTTTTTTTTCATGTTCATGTGCTGCCACCTTGCGATCATTTATAAAATGGCACAACTTGGTTTGCTTTTTTAAATCTTGGATTTGTTGAGCTTTGTCTGCATACCACAAATATCTGAATGCTTGGCTATGTGTAGGTTAAATATCTGAATGAATCACTGAATAGTTTTTGCTTCATAAAAATACTGTAGTGGCAAGAACTGGATTGGGAATCTCAGAAAATAGCTTCCAGTCCCCAATCTGCCTGGTGTCAGCTTTGTGACTTTGAGCTCGAACAAGATTAATCTGGTCCCAAAGTTCAAGTAGAGGCTCTGTGAGATGGCAGGAGTATGGCATTGGGGTAAGTTCCTAACTACTCTCAACTTTGGTATCCTACTCTTCAAAATGAGGATAAAGGAATACCCACCGCCAAGGTGGGTCCCAGAACCAAGTGTGAAAATGCATGTAAGAGCACTTATCTCAGAATACACTTCAGAAAGCATAGGCTGTGATAGTTTCCACCATGTGCCTCCTGGGCAAAATCCTTTATCTGACATTTCAAAGTAGTTACTTCTCCCCACTCCACCTCCAAAACAATAAGTAAAAACCCAGAAAGATATAAGTTTAGAAAATAAAATATGTTTCTTAGAATTGGAAAAACACATTTGAACAATTTAATTGTTAAAATAACGAGTAAAGCCAAAGACTGCACAGAAACTGGAATTTTACAAATAACTTGGAATCATTGATTATTTAAGATTGTATCTATTTATTTGAGAGAGAGAGAGAGAGACAGAGATAGAGTGTGAGCAGGGGAGGAAGCAGAGGGAAAGGGAGAAGCAGATTCTCCGCTGAGCAGGGAGCCCGAGGACATGGGATTCAGGACTCCATCCCAGGACCCTGAGATCTATAACCCGAGTCGAAGCCACTGAGCCACCCCGGCGCCCCCCACTGATTATTTTTAAACGTTACAGAGAGTGACAAGGACGTCAAGGGGTGACTGTTCTGGCTGAGTCTCCCATTGCCAGCATCTTACAGGTCCCCGATGTGTTTAACATCAGCCAGGCAGCACAATGCTGACGAGAGGAAACGGAATTTTCCCAGGAATTCAGATGAGTGTTTGCATCACTTGAAATTTTATTCCATAGATCAGAGAACCAGTCTGCATAAGAAGCCGCACTATCTGAAAGTAACAAGTTTCTACTATTTTACTTCTTCTCCCTTTATGTTTCCTTAGGATATCAAAATATCGAAATGATCTTAGCTTTTATTTTCCAGACAGATGTTTTGGCATTACTTATACATTAAGCTTTTTGTTTGTTTTTAACAGCTTTATTGAGGGATAATTTAGATACCATAGAATTCCCTAACACATATAATTGTCTGAGTCTCAGTAAATGTACACAGTTATGCAGCCATTAACACAATTCAGTTTTAGAACAATTGCATCATGTACTTTGCATTTGACCATCCCCACAGGGAAAGAATTTACTAGATCATTAACCTGCGGATTTAAACCGTCTAGCTCTAGAAACTGGTCTAGGCATTCCTTTTGAATAAATCAAGCATTAAAAGGAAACAAACTAAAACTCTCAAATTTACTCAAAGTAGAGGTCAGTGAAACACATTCTCTCCAGGGGTCGTCTGCAAACTAATTAGAATATAAATTAAGCATATAAATTAAGAATAAAAGTTAATACACATACGCTAACGTATTTGTATATTTCAGAAAGTGTATATTATGTAATTCATTACAGTCTATGCCAATATTATGGCCACCTTTCACCCAAGGACACCCTTATTTGTTTTCTCACTCTTATAAATATGGGTAGGTGGGATAAACCGCCTGGAGCCTGAACATTTTGATCTGGCATATCCCAAATTTATGGAAGAACTATCCTCCCTTTCTGTAATTTGGCTGCACCCTTAAGTGGGGTTGGACCTGAGACACTGCCTTAGATCCTGCAGAGGAAGAGCTTCTTCTTTAATAGGATATTTAAGAGGCCATGATGCTGCCTTATCTGCTTCAAAAGGCTTATTTATTCAAGAAATAAGTTACCATGGTCCTCATCCTGCAGATCCAGTACTTTCCCCAATATAGCATCTCTTAGATATGTACACAAAAATCTCTCAATGCAAGAATTATAATCTGGGTATAATAAAAGTGCCTCTATCTATTTGTTTTTTTGTTCTTGCCTTATCTCTAAGTTTATAGGTGTTTCAGACAGGTGGTTATGTATAGGTGAGGTCTGGAGCCAAGAACCAAGGAAGAATTCTTCAGACATCTTTGGTGCAAAGTGGTAGTTTTATTAAAACATGGGGGGAAGGACCCAGGGTGAGAGGTGTGGGGGGGGTGTGTGTGTGCGGGGGGTGGGGGTGGGCAGGAAGAGCTGCTGCCCCCAGCTTGTGAGAGGTGGGTGGCTGATTATACACCCAGGAGTTGGGGGATGTAAGCAAAAGGGAGATTCCAAAAGGATTTCCACACACTATGGAGGACCTACAAGACACTGGAGGCCTTGCCATTGTCAAGTTAAAGATTGCTTTTCCCTCTAGCAAGGCACCAGCATTAACTGGAAACTTCCAGAAGAATGTCACAGGTATCCGATCCTGGGTGGGGGGCGTTTGTGGGATTTCAGCTGGGCTCTGTCCTCAGCTAGCCCTGTTCCCCCATCATAAACTAGGGTCCAAAACTTTGGGTCCAAAAACATCTTTATATCTAGCCTCCCTTACAGAGTTGACTAACTCCACTTATCTTGACATTTAAATTCTATTTTACTTTGTTATTTAAGTGTTCAACGTGTGCTAATCCAGCCTCCTTCGCATACCAAGTTCCCTGTGGTTAGAATAATTGTCTCAAACTTTGTGCTGTGAATAAATGGATTTTATGTTTCTCTGGCGCCTTGTTCACACTGGGCAAACAAAAAGCTATTTAATAAGTTCAATAACTTCTTTAATTAATAATGACATTAATCCTTACGTTTGTCTCCCCTCCTGTGAAGCCCCTGCCTCCCATCCTCCCCTTTACACTTATCATATAACCCGGATGTCCTAGGCATTACAGATTTCCTGTCCTACTGTCCCATAAGAACCGTTGCATGTGCCACACCATATGTCCGGGCATATATATGGTCCTCAGGAGCTGTAATACGAATCCGTGTCTATGGCAACACATCTCTGATTCCTACTCCTCTCTTTTTGCGAATGGCTCTGATCACCATTTCAAATACGACCCCCTTTCTTTTTATTTAACTTCAGCCTTCGTGTTTCAGCATTACAAGAGCATACTAATGGGACAAGTTCGACGACACAAAATACACGGGGGCCTCCCAGCAGAGGTTCTTTCTTTCTTCCCGGCTGTTTCCACGTGGGCTGGCCCAAGTCAGGGCTCCTGCGCACGCAAAGCAGCAGGTGCGCGGTCCCCCGGGCACCCGCCCGTCCACGGAGCGCCCACTAAGCCCGCGCGCGACCTTGGCTGAGCCACTCACATCTCTCTGGACCTCGGGGCCCCCCCGGAACGCTGCCCGTCTCGGCAGGCGGAGTCCAGAGACGAGGACGTGTGAGCACTCTGCGGGGCCGAAAGCGCAACGCAACCGTGCAGGACTGTTCCATGTGCTGCGGGGGGTCCCCTGCATCAGTCTTCTTGCCTGCTCGCCCCCAGGCTTCTCGGCTCCCCGCGCAGCTCCCTGCAGCGGCACAGGCCCCTCCCGTCCCCAGGGACCCAGCCCACGCCCCGGCTCGGACACCACCGCCGAGCTCCGGGCGCCGCCGGCCGCCGGGAGGAGGAGGAGGAGGAGGAGGAGGAGGAGGAGGAGGAGGAGGAGGAGGAGGAGGAGGGCGCCTTCCGGGACGCGCGCTCCCTCTAGGGGCGCCCCTCGGGCTCCACTACAGACCCGGCCTCCCCCGCCTCCCCAGCAGCCGCGGAGCGAGGCCCCTCCCCCGAGCGGCCTCCTCCCCCGAGCAGCCCCGCCGCCCTCCGCGAGGTCCCGCCGGCCTCAGCCACGCCCCCCCGTTTAAACCCGGCGCTTCCCGCGGAGGCGGCGGAGCGAGGCCCGCGCGGTGGCTTATGGGGGTTGAGCCTGCAGAAGGCGGATGCCGATTGGCTCCTGCGCGAGGAGGGCGGAGTCAAAGGCGGAAGCAGGCGTTGGGGCGGGGCTCCGCGGCGAGGGAGCCCGAAGCGCCCATGGAAGCGGTTGAGTGCCCTGAGCACGGTGAGGGGTCGAGGTCCTTGGAGGCTCCCCGGGGTCTGCCAGGCTGGCGCGGCGTAACCGTGTCACCTTGCTGTCCTTAGGGATCGCCTGCCTTCTCAAGACCGGCGTCCGCGATGGCCCGAATAAAGGCAAGAGCTTCTACGTGTGCCCGGCTGACGCGTGCCGCTTCGTGCTGGCCGCCGCGTAAGTCTCGAGCTGGGCCGACCGCCGGCGCCCGCCCGGCCCCCTCCGCCCGGCCCCCTCCGCCCGGCGCCCTCCGCCCGGCGCCGCAGGCCCTGGGAGAGGGGGGACCTGGGCTGGCTGTGCAGCCAGGGCCTCGAAGTAGTTGCATCCCGTCCCAGGGCGGCGCGGCCCGTTCGGGAGGCGCACCTGCCTGCTTGCTGTTTGGCCCTGGGCAGCTTGTTCCCCTCTCTGGCCTCCATTCCCCCGCCTGTGAAACGGAGGGTCGCCTACCTCGGGAACCGCGCGGTCCTTTCCAGCTCCGGGTTTCCTTTGCACTTGTCAGGCCTCTGCTGGGATGTTGCGTCTCCCTGCTGAGAGACAACTTGCAGGCCTCGTACGGAATGACTGGTCTCGGTTTTGCGCTAGTTTCAGGCCAGGTCGGATTATCAACTGCCCTTTGGAATAGGATTCTCGGGTCACCTGGGTGGCTCAGCTAGTTAAGCGTGCGGCTCCTGATCTCAGGGTTGGGAGATTGAGCCCTGCATGCGGCTTGTGCTGGGCATACAGCCTGCTTGGGATTCTCTCTCTCCTCTCCCGCTGCTCCCCACGTGTGTGCCCTCAGGTGCGCGCTCTCTCAGGAAAACAAGAAAAAACAAAAAAAGGTTCTCTCGTTTAAGGTGTGAGATTGATAATCCAAAGAAACAAGTTACTGCTGAAAGAAAATCAGGTATCTGATTCAGCATTCCGGTTTTACAGAATTGGAAGCGGAGACCCAGAAATGTTAAGCGTCTTCTTAAAGTGAGAAAAGTTAATACTGTTCTCATAAAAGTGTTAATAAGGTCCACAGCCTATGTGAATTTTTAAACTATCACATGAAACATTTTTCCTGCTCTCTGAATTGCGTAGAGAAACATACATTTTCTCCATCTGATGTAAGGCACAAAGTAGATACCAACACTTAGAAAATAAAGTATTTTTTAACATGTATATTATGTTTCCGTTACATGATTTGCTTTGAAACTAAGTGAAGGAATGTGTATGTTCTTCAGTTTGGGCAAATAAATTTTTAGAGAAAACGCATTCTTAGCCTTCTAAAAAGTTGTTTTATTTGGGAGAAATTACCGGGCTCCAGCTTGGTTAAATACGAAACAATTTTGAGAAAAGCAATGTCAAATCTTAGATAGAAGGGACAAGCTGGATAAGTTTGCAGGTTTTACTATTTATTTCTAATTTCTAAACTGAGTTTCTTAGGTTCTGTACCTAGCTCAAGTTTCGTGAAACATGGAAGCATGTTCACATTTGTAGGAATTAAGCATTAATGGTAGCTTAAGACTCAGTTTTACGTTAAAAGAAACATACCTTTGGGGCACCTTGCCGGCTCAGTTGGTGGAACGTGCAGCTCTCGATCTCAGGGTTGTGAGTTCGAGCCTCACTTCGGGTGTAGAGATTAAAAATAAAATCTTTTTTTTTTTTTTTTTTTAAAAAGACAGACTTTTATATATAGTAGCATTTATACAAAGGCCCTGCTGCCAAAGTAGTACAACATAATATTTGACTTGATGACAGTTATTTGATAACCTTGACCTATTTGGTCAATATAAGCAAGACAAAGGAAGAAACAAGTGCCATAGGTCATATGAAAGTACTTTAGGCCTTCACTCAAAACTCTGTATCCTCAAATGTTACACATACGTTCTCTTATAATAAGTTGGAAAAGAGGAGTTAAAAAAACATGCCGGGCATGAGGCAGGTTAGGAGAGCCTGCTTCTGAACAGATTGTAGGAAAAGGGATGATGGAAAACCTAGGGAAAGTTTACAGCCAGTCTTAACGTATTTCAGCTGTTCCTGGGTGGGGGGTTTGCAACATAGAGATTGTAGAACACAGGACAGTTTTGAGCTTTTGAGTCATCAGGAAAAAGATGTATCTCTGTCATCCTGTCTTTGGGGGACTGGGAAAAAAATGAAAGCTCCAGACCTTTTCCCCAGAGGAATGTACATAGACCTAACAATGTTTGGGATTTACAAACCCAGTGGAGGTCATATATGCACTATTATGTTTAAAACCCATAGTTCAGGGACGCCTGGGTGGACTCTTAATTTCAGCTCAGGTCATGATCTTAGAGTGGTACGATCAAGCCCTGGGTCAGGCTCCATACTAGGTGTGGAATATGCTGGAGATTCTTTTCCTCCCACTACGTGCCCCCTGCCCCCCCGCCCCACTTGTGCACATGCGCTCTCTCTCTCTCACAGTTAAATAAATAAATAAAATAATAATAAAACCCAGAGTCTGGATTTAATTTTGGAACGTTAATTTCTGTTGTTTACTAAAGCAAAATTTCTTTTTCCCCTCCCTCTAGTATTCCTGTTTCTCATTGTTTGTTGCATGAAGACTGTGTGGTAGGGCTTCAGGGTTTGCTTCTACCCCCAGGCAAAGAAGAGTATAGGTAAGTGTCCAAAAGGAACATCTAAATGTATTTACTTCTTTCTTTACCTGGAAGAGTTACAGCCAGGTGTGTTTTCCTAGGATTGAGTATTCTGTAAAAAGTCATTGTTAACAAAGAGTATTTCTGTCTGTATTGAATGTCATCTTAGCCGTTGCTCCCTCACTGCTAAGTAGCTGATCTGCGAATCTGATTAATTTCTGGATCAACTGTTCTTCCTCCTTCAGTCTCCAGCTCTTAAGTAGCCAATAACATCAGCCCACCAGCAGTCATTAACTTGCAGTGACTTGTCAACTTTTCTAGTAATAGGATGAAGAAATAAGTCTAAAAATGTCTAAAGTGTGTTAAGCACTTAATAAATGTTAGTTTCCCTTTTTTTTATGAAAACTCAGGTAAGGCAGGGAAATCTATGTAGGTAGCAGGTGATATTTGTCATGAGTATTGAAAGATAAGAAGGAATTCACTAGGGTTAAGAAAGAGGTCATTTTTAACAGATCCATACCCTGCATAGGTTTTAGAGTTATGAAGTGACCAGGAATCGCAAGCCTTTGGTTTGGTAATAATTTAGCGTGTGTTTGAGTAGAGATTTCAGAAGATTAGGCTGGCCAGGAAGGCAGGGGCCATTTTTGATGGTTGTTATATGATATTCTATGCAGCTCAGAATATATATTCTAGGTCAATCCCCTTACCTCTCCCCCAATATTGGCATTTAACTATCATCTTCACCATTTTTACATACCTGAATATTGCCCATACTGCTGTTTTTCTTAATTGAGGTATGGATACAGTAAGATGGCAGAGAATTTAAGTGTTCAACAGTCATGTTTGAGAAATTGATATAACCATTCTTATAACCAAGCCTCAGTCAAAATATTACCTCATTAAGTGCCATTTGACCCCTTTCTAGTTAATCCTTCCCTTCTACCACAGGCAGTCACTATTTTTATTTATCCTTTTGTATCTGGCTTCTTTTATGTAACAGTATCCATGAAATTCATCCATATGATAGTGTGTATCAGTAATTCTTTACCACTGAGTTGACTTCCATTTTGTGAATATCACAGTTTCTTGTCCCTATTTGTCATCCGTGTTATCTTCTTTGGTGAAGTTTAAATCTGTTTAAATCCTTTGCCCATTTTTTTAATTGAACATTTTATTGAGGTAATTGTAGATTCTCATGCATTTATAAGAAATAGTTCAAACAGAACTCCTGTAGACTTTACCTAACAGTAACATTTTGCAAAATGTATATAAAAAGTATATAATATTATAATTAGGATATTGATTCAGTCCACTGATCTTATTTGTGAGATTAATTTTCCTTGTACTAATTTGTGTGTGTGTGTACGGATTTAGTTCTATACAGTTCATCATGTGTAGTTTTTTGTATGCACCAGCACAATCAAGATAAGGAACAGTTCCATCACCACTGGATTCTTCCACCGTGCTTCCCACTCCCTCCACCTCATCTCTGGCAACCAGAGATCTGATCTCCATTTCTGAAATTTGCCATTTCAGAAATGTGACATAAATGGAATCCTAAAATGTAACTTTGGTAGGTTTTTGCCTATCTTAAAAATTGTGTTGTCTTTTTATTATTGAATAGAAAGAGTTCTTTATATATTCACTATACAAGTTCTTTGGCAAATACATATATAATGTATATTTTCTCCAAGTCTTTGTTTTTCAATTTCTTAACTCTCTTTTGAAAAGCAGTTTTCATTTTTATAAAGTCCAGTTTATCGTTTTTGGGGTTTTTTTTTTTTTTTTTTTTTTTTATCCTTTGTAGCTTTATGTTTTTCTCTCTGCCTCACAGATTTCTCCAAGGATTTCTTCTAGAGGTTTTATAGTTTGATTGTTTTTTTTTTTTTTTTTTTCCCTCTTAGTGGCTTTTTAGTCTGTGGTCTAGTTCAGATTAATTTTGGGTATCTTATGAGATAGGAATAGTTCATTTATTTTTCCCTTTATTACTGAATGAATATTTTTCAGTTGTCTTACCACCATTTTGGAAGACTTTCCTTTCCCCATGGAAATGCTTGGCACTTTGTAAAAAATCAGTTACTGCCATGTTATGAATCTATTTTTGAACTTGCTAACCTGTTCTGTTGGTCTACTTGCCTATCCTTACACAATCAGATAAGATAGTGTGAGTCTTCCAACATTCTTCTTTTTTAAGATTGGCTCTTCTAAGTCACCTGCATATAAAATGTAGCTTCAGCTTCTAAATTTCCTTAGAAAAACCTTGCTAGTATTATACCGAGTCTGTATAGATCCTTTTGGGAAGAACTGACATTAATGTTAATTTTCTAGTCTATGAGCATGATGTATTTATGGCTTTAAAAATCTTTTCCAGCATTGTTGAGTAGTTTTCATTATAGAGTACTGTACCTTTTTGGTTAAATTTAGTCCTCGCAGAGTGTTACCATTTTTGGTGCTTTTATAAATGGAATTTTTAAATTGTTCACTTTTTTAAAAAAAGATGTATTTGTTTATCTGAGGGAGGTAGGGGCAGAGTGAGAATCTTCAAGCAGACTCTGCTGAGCACAGAGCACCATGCAGGGCTCAATCTCACAACCCTGAGATCATGACCTGAGCCTAAACCAAGAGTCGGATGCTTAACCACCTGAGCCACCCAGATACCCTGAAGTTTTTCACTTTTTGGCTGTTTTTTGCTAGTAAGTGGGGCTAATAAGCCTCTAGAGCATGAAGATAGGATATCCTGACACCTAAAATTGTTTACAAACTGCTGGGGGCTCTCTACCATACAGGAAGACTTCTAGGTTGTAGGAAGCCACTGAAGGAATTTTTGTCCAATTTACATTAATAAAAGAGGAGCTCTGAAGAGCATTAGTTAGGAAGATGGTAGAGGCAAGGAGACTGCTAATACAGAAGTGCTATTAAATGTCTAGTAAATGGCACAGTCCGTATTGCTCACTGCCATATCACTCTTCTGTGATAGGTAGATGAGGCACCTGACATTTTGAGAGGTTAGGAGAGGAATCAGGTCCCACAGTTGTGGAGTCACATTGCTGGGATGCATACCTCGCTCGGTCTAGCCGATTCTAGATATATCCATTTTAGTCTCTAAGTGAAAGGTGTGCTTGGATTGAGGCATTGACAGTGGAGTTGGGTGCACTTAGAGTTTGGAAGGAAAAATCAATAAGGCAGTTTTTTGGTAGGGCATTTAAGCATGTACCTTCCTCCCTCATTTTCTTGTCAGGAATAGTGATCCTGGTAGTCCTGTGTTCCCTGGGTTGTGAGGATTCAGCGAGGTCATGGGTGTGATGCCAGTGGTCTGTTGTTTGGCTCACTGTCAGTGCTCCATAAATGGTTGTTAGGTTGGGATTTATGGGTGATGATTTTACCATTAAGCAAGATAAGGAAGGAAAAGTAACATCGTCAGAGGGTTGGGATGTGTGGCCAGCACAGACAGCTTTGAACCAATCATGTCTTACGTGTATTTGAAACCAGCTAGTAAAGGGAGTGCAGCTCCAAAGAAAGGTCTAAGCTGAAGATGGAATTTTGAGAACTTACCATGAACATTCTTCATACTAGGGAGACGAGGCTGAGAGTTGATAATTATTTTAAAATAGAAAAGTAAAGGGGTGCCTGGGTGGCTGGGTCAGTTAAGCATCTGACTTGATTTTGGCTCAGGTCGTGATCTCAGGGTTGTGAGATTGAGCCCCCGCCTTGAGCTTTTCCCAGACATGGAGCCTACTTAAGATTCTCTTTCCCTCTCTTCTGTCCCCCTCTAAAAAAAAATAAAATGGAAAAGTAAAGTATGCAAATGTTTTTCTCTTAGCCTGAGTCTAGAACATTATCACTAGGAGGTACTTACTGGAAGTTTTAAAAGGTTGGTTTAGGGGCAGCCCAGGTGACTCAGCAGTTTAGCGCCACCTTCAGCTCAGAGCGTGATCCTGGAGACCCAGGATCAAGTCCCATGTAGGGGGCTCCCTGCTTTGAGCCTGCTTCTCCCTCTGTCTCTGCTCCCCTCTCTCTCTCTCTCTCTCTCTCTCTCTCTCTCATGAAAAAATAAATAAAAATTTTAAAAAGTTGCTTTAAGACAAAATACAGCTATACAACACACAATAAATTAAAAACAAGTACCCTGATAGGTAGCACGGGCCGGAAATTTGAATAGAATTAGGTAAGCTGGTGGATGACTTTCTTAGCAGACAGGGCATTTAACCAGAACCCCTGTTGTCTGGAGGGAATACAACATTTCCTCCTGTAAACTGAACTTAAAGTACTCTACATCTTTTTTTTTTTTTTTTTTTTTTAAGATTTTTATTTATTCATTCATGAGAGACAGAGAGGCAGAGACACAGGCAGAGGGAGAAGCAGGCTCTATGCAGGGAACCCAACGTGGGACTGGATCCCAGGTCTCCAGGATCACGCCCTGGGCCAAAGGCAGGCGCCAAACTGCTGAGCCACCGGGGCTGCCCAGTACTCTACATCTTTGATTTTTAATTCCAGTATGTTTAAAGCTTAACCCAACTAGGAGCCAGGTGCAGCAGAGTAATGGGGGAGGGGGAAGTGTAAGCCCAGGTGAGGCTAAGATGCCCATTTTTCCTACCTTGGTGTGTGGGCGCATTGTGTGCAGTTCTCAAACTTAAACCCCAGATGGCACCACTCACCAGCATTTGGTCCTTCAGCCTTGGCTCTCTGTTTAGGGACAATAAAGAGACAGCCACTCAGTAGAACCAACCTTAAGGAAGAATTCTTTCCTCCACTCAAATGAGGCAAGAGTTCTTGTTTCCTCCCCTCCTGTCCTATCCCGCCCCCCTTTGTTTTTCAACCTTTCAAGGATGTAGAATCAAAATGGATAGAAGTACTCTTTTATCTTGTAAACTAGATAAAACAAGTATTAGTTCTTTGTATAACTGGTGGTTGTGGGATGTTCAAAATATTTTATTTTTAATAACCCTGGAATCTTTGCATGTCTAGCAGATTTCTTGTGTGGTTGGTTTTTGGCTGAAATTGGCGTGCAGTGTGATACAGCT